AAGCCATTTGCTTTGGCCCATCAGCAGTTGTCCTGGTTACTAGATTGTAATTATGTTAAGATTAAATATAAAATACAAGTAACTACAAGATACATTTAGATTAGATTTAATCCCATATATAGATTTGCACACCTTATAAAACCACATACAGTATACTCAAATTTTAAATTATGAAAAGGCACRTGAGCCTTTGCTGCCTGAGCATACGTTGAATTTTCTCCATTACATGTCCATGGGCTGAAAAAAAACTAAAGAATGTGGGCAACCACACTGGCTGCTAGCTTAATCATAAAAAATAAAACAACTTTACTTAAGTATTTGCATTTCTTATGTTATTGCATTTGGCCCGTGGCCCTCAGATGGATTTTAATTTTGGTCCTCTCAGGGAAAATGTTTTTTAATTTTGGCCCTCTCAGGGAAAATGTTTGGGCACCCCTGATCTAGAGGAAGTAATAGTCGTAACAAGGTTTCCGCTTCTTCATTAAGAATAGTGTTTTAGAGTTTTGGTAAAAATGCATCAAATAGTGGAAATGCAACAATGGGATTTTGCTAAAACAAACTCTTTAGAGCCTCATAGCTCAGTTATACTTAACAGAAGAAACATTTTAACAGGTCATAAAATTGGCTTTACATGAATGAAATGTTATTTCCTCTATGGTTTTTACTCAATCCCTGTTTAAGTTTGATTATTTGTGGACATTTTACCACAGAATGTTCAACTAAAGAGTGTGACAATGTGATAATAACCTTTGAGCTGTCTAAATATTACAAAACCTTTACAAACTACTCCAACAAATGTTACAACTTTTATACAGTTTATACATCAAAACATAGACTTTTTGTCTTTGAACCAGTGTTCCTTTCTACCAAAAATATTAGTTTTCTCTCAAATCCCCCATAGAGAGCAGAGTGCACATACCCAAACGCTCATTGATTGCCTTTGTTTCTGAACAGAAATTTCCCTTGACCTAATTAGCAGGTCTTTTAAACTTGTCATATCTGCTACACTGAAGACATGAACGATTTACATGCTTCTGCTATCAAGAGTTTCAAGAATTTCAGTGTATTTTTCATACAGCAAATTTGTCTAAGGCTTACCCCCAATTTACACTACTTGTGTTCCTTCTCCACTCCGCAGCAATTACACACCCATTATAATCAATGAGAGTGTTTACACTGGCAGCGCAGGGCGGCGGTCAGCGTACGGCGATCCGTCAAAATTAGAACAGATCCTATTTTTGCCGGACGCCGGAGTCAATTTTTAAAGATTACGTCGCACCAACAGGAAAAAGAAACGAGCACAACATCCGTATTTTCAAAATAAGACACTATTCGGCTGAATAATTTGTCGGAATAATGTCGAAATTGCGGCTATATTAATAAATATACGGATATATTTCTACACAAATGGCGTCAGAATGTATAGTTCTGTTTGGGAAGCAGATGGAAACATGTAGCATGAAGCATATGTGTACACACACGATACACGTGGATTTTATTTTGAAATCAGAAGTTTCAGAAAGCCAACAGCGTGATAGTTTCAACATAGAAACCAAAAGCCTTTATATCATTGTTTTCAGCTGTGTTTGGAGTTTGTCTTTCACAGAATTAATTATTTTTTGCTGTGACTTCCACATTTATCACTGAATTTATCGCGCAATCTGCTTCCTGAACGTCTGTCGGCACGGAGCGGAGGTGGTGTAAACTGGACTTGAAACGCACAGCTGCGACCTGCGCAGCGCAGCGCAGCGGAGTGCAGCAGAGACACATGCAGTATAAATCCAGGGTTACTTTCTGCTCTGTTTCTGCCTGTCTTATTATGTCTGGTCACAGAGTGAAAGACACCAGTGTGCGGTTACCATGATAAGCCTAATGAGCTACAAGCAGTAGTTGTTTTTATTTTTATTTTTTTAATCTTGGTTTGCTTTCCACATCTTTAGCTCAAAACATTGGCCTTTTGTCAGTTAGATAGTTAAAAAACTAAAGTGCCAGATTACTGTTTGGGCTATAGAGAAGAAAAAGAGAGAGAATTGGAGTTTCAGGCTGCAGCTGAATTGATATTTTTCAACATTTCTTCATTTTTGAGTTTAAAGTTTTAACATATCACCCCCTTTTCACCATTTGTTAACCTTTTAACAGTCACACATGAAATTCCTTTGAAAGCTTTTTGACATTTTTTATTTTTTGTAAGGGCGTCAAACTAAAGGTAAGAACTGAGGGAAGTTGTCTGACACCCTAGTTTTCAAAATAAAAGCCCCCAGTAGTAGCGTCTGGAAACGTTTAAAGGCACCATTTTTGCCCACGTGGAACAAAGACTGTCAGAGGTTAATTTTCCACTAATTCAGTGACTCGTTAAGATTATTTTATCCTCAGTTTTAACATAAATTCTCTCTGAATAGGCAACCCATTCTCACTCTCAAGTCGTCACATATTGATGCTTTTCCAAGATTCCCTCTGCGTCCTATTTTGACGCGTCGGGTACCCCACTCGCATCAGTTATTAACGAGATGGGGCGGAATGCATTGTCATAAATTCAGAAAATGTAGAAAATGCACAAAAACTAACCGTCCCAAAGCCTAAAATTACCTTTATTCACTCTAGACATCCTGTCCCTGACCCTAGTACCTAAAATTAACCATCAACCCCGATCTCTAAAATTAACCACGGACCCCAACTCAAAGAACCCTATATTTTGTGTCCCAACGCGTCAAACCAATGCCGAGGGAACACGGAAATACCTGGTGCATCAACAACTGACGCGACGGGTGTACCCGACGCTTCAAAATAAGACACAGAGGGAACCTTGGAAAAGCATCAATATGTGACGAGTCGGGAGTGAGAATGTGTTAGAATAAGTGTTTGTGTTGAGTGTGATAGTTGAACACTGTGGCTGGGATTTAAAACTATTTTTTCTTGTCTTCTAGAAAAAGACAACAGATATTCACTATATATATTATATTATTCACCATATATCTGTGTTACCAGGTAAACTATGTAAAACCAAAAACTCACAGTTTTGTTTTTCCTCAATGAACTGAATTACAGTGAAGAAGATTTACAGGAGCAGCTCTTCAATTCTGTCCCACTTAGTGAATAAAGCTCGGCAGCTTGGCGCGTTCCCTATTGGTTCTAAAATCGCTCACAGAGCAGCTTTAATTAATGAATAAAGAAAGAGTAAAGACGACAGAAACAGCCTTTTACTCCCTCAGCAAAAACGAGCATTTTCTGCTCCGTATAGCGCCGTCTCACGCAGTTAAAATGTCCTGTTAATTCGGACAAATGTTCAACAGCCCAAACAGCAGGGGGGAAAAGCTTCATCTTTTTGAAGTATTGCACAAAAAACACAAGTGTATTCTTATGGAAATAAATTAAGCAAAACACGTTCTTCGATGCTATTTTTTACACAAGTACAGAATAAAAATGTAGCTTTTTCAGGGATCAACACATAACAGTTCCTTGTCTCAAAAAGAGCTTAGGTCATCTTTTTTTACAGAGTTGACACATCAGTCAACATTAGCTAAATGTTTCTTTTAATATTTCCCACTGCCATGATAGACAGGTGATTGTATAATTGTGTGTGTTTGCAAAATAACCATTAGACAGATTTGAAAAAAATTATAACTGGACACACTTTCACAACTGATTCATGTTTAGAGTCAACCCAAGTCAAAATGACTGCCACAGCTGCTCAGAAATGGCCATAACTCAGTCAGTTTTACCACTGAACTAAAATTTAGTGGAGTAGGAGCTGAGTGGCATTCACAATGCAAACTCAAATCAGACAAGGTCTTTGTTCAAAACATTTGATGCAAGGCAGCAGGCATTTCTTCAGCCACTTTATTCTATTTAGTGTCCAATTATAGTTCTTCATCTCAAGGATGAGTAATCCTCATTTGTGTGGAACATGAAGCCATCTGTGTCTGAAAAATATCACCATCAGAGGAGGAAGTCTCCGGTTTGACCAGAATTTACAATTCAGTTTTTTTTTTCAATTTGCACGTGACCAAATCTCTCGATTTAAACGAGAGAAACAAAAATCCTAACGACCCTCAGGAAGGAGGAGAGGGGGCGTGTTCTGTAGCTCACAACTAATAAGATCAACACAGCGTAAAAAAAATTAAAACTCTGCACTTTTAATTTTTAATAGACAAAACTCTTCAAATGCAAAACAAATCATTTCTAAAAGAAAAGAGGAAAAAATGTAATTCCCATTGTTTGAACTGACTAGGATCACTGCCAGCAAACGATTCTTCATGTTTCTGTTTTGTTGTCTCTCTGAAACGGTTTGTAAGATTTAAAAGTAAATAATTAGTTTTAGATGTCAAAAATTACACAAGAAACACGTGCATTTTAAAGGTTGACATCTGTGCTTCTCTAAACAAAGGAACACTGTAAACATCTTACCAGAAGTAGATATTATTAATTGATGAGAATGACCTCAGAGTAAAGGGCTCGACACACGGGCAGCGACAAACTACAGCGATTAACGGCTGTCATCGCAGCCAGGGTGAAACCCGACACACGGGACGCAATAGCGATCGCAGCGTTGTGAATCGCGCTCTCAGATCGCTTGTCTTCAAAAAATTTGATTGGTTCTTCACCCTGAAGGCGGGTGTGCATTACGGACGTGTAAACTAAACAAATCTTGCGATGCTAATGATATTGAAAAACAAACACACATCAAGATACAGTTTTATGARGAAAAACTTACCATAAACTTCAGCCTGGTGCCAATAAATTCCCACAAAGCTTTTTAGTAATCACTTGGTCTTATTAGTGTTAGCTAACTGCAGTGTGTAGCATACTCTCCTCTCATTGGTCAGTCAATGAAACCCTCGCTGATTGGTTGTATGCTAAGCGACAGCGACAAAAGTTGAACATTTTTCAACTTTCATAAGTCGCGTCGCAAGCTCGCGTGTGCACGTCTACGTGTACGAGCGCGAAATTTCACATGCACTATTTTCGCCGGTCGCTTGGCTGGAGGAGGGCAAGCGATTGTCGCCTCATCGCACAGGCTCCATAGGAAATGAATGGAGAGCGAGCGATGTCGCCTCTCGTGTGTCGAGCCCTTAACTATCAAGAAGGCTGTCTTCCACAAACATTAACCAGTACTGAAAAATGCTTGTTATCAAACAGAAGTAGAATGTTTTCTGTGTTCTGATTTATTTTAATCTAAAAGAGGAAAATGTGTCTTTATACCAGCTCCTCTGATGCTGTTTGTCAATTCTTCATTGCTGCATTTGTTCACCTGGATTCTTCATAAAATGGTGACTTATTTTTCTGACAATTTTAATAGTTACCAAACACAAAAAAATAGCAAACAAAGAGAAAACTGTAGCTGAAATAAATTTGTAATAATTGAAAAATACGAAAACAGGCGAAATTCAATCCTGCTTAAAGATATTTTTTTCTGTTTCTTCACCTTTTGTGCAAATTTAACAATAACATTCAACATTTGCCAAATTTAAAAGGTGCATTGTCTGAAATGAATCTGCTGAAACTGAAGCACCAGCATGTTTAAAATATGTCTGAAATCATTATCTCTCATTTTCTCCAGATTGTTAGCTTTAGAATTTCATATACTCCTTTACTAAATTTAACACCTCTCATAAGTGTGCTGTCTGTTGTAAAAACAATCAATAAATGGTCATTTCTACACAAAAACATGGCTGTGACATGTCATAACAGAGCACATTTCAACCCTATCAAAAAGAAGTGACCAAAGGTGTAAATTATTAATTTCATTTGACTTTAATTATCACTGGCTGAGTTTGTCTACTGAAGAATTACCGTGACAACAACCTAAAGCGTTGACTAATTTTGCGTTAAAGTGGGCCAGCTCAGGTTTTTGTTCCCCGTGGCTCAAACTGAAAATAAAAAGCTCAAACCAGTGAGCTGGAGGATTTCCATCTATGCTGAGACTGTAGTACAAACCTGGTGCAAACAACTGTTAGATAAGAGACCGTTTCAAATGCACCAAAGTGGTGATCATCCTTTCGTTGATGGACTTCATCGTCAGCGTGTCCCTCAGTTTCCTTTGAATCCTCGATAATGTCTGTAAGTATTATCTGTGCACCACCATCTATTGGCATCCTGTGTCTTCCTGCCTCCGGAATCCTCACACATAATTGGGGGAATGTTCAGTGTGGAGGACATATGCCACACTTTGAAACCTTCTGGGTGTTTTCCCAGCACAGATGATTGGCAGATCCACAGTTTCACGCATCAGCTTCTGGCTTCTCCACCAGTTTCAGAGCCTCGTGCATGCCAGCAGCCGACAGCTTCCGGTTAATGTTCCTGTAGCGACACCTCAGCAGATTACTGTAGGTGGTCCTCAGATCACGATTGAAAAATGCGTAAATGAAGGGGTTGATGAGGGAGTTGGCATAGCCCAGCCACAGCAGAGTCCTTTCCAGCCAGAGCGGCACGCAGCTGCACTCCACGCCACAGACGAACGGCCTGGCGGTTGAGACCAAAAAGAACGGCAGCCAGCAGAACGTGAAGGCACCGACCACGATGCCAAGCGTGGCCGCGGCCTTCTGCTCCCGTTTGAAGATGGACTGGTTTTTCCTCTTCCGGCGCTGGTGGTGCTCGCCGCTCTTGAGTAGGCGGGAGACGCGGCTGCTGCACTCCTCTTCCACCTCCCGCTGGAGCTTCAGCGCCGCTGCCACGCAGTCCAGGCTCCCTTCCTCCTCCTCAGCTTCATCTTCATACTGCTCAACCTCTGTGCCTTCAACACTCCCCGTTTCTCCTGATTCCGAAGGCTGTTGATGTTCGTGCACTCCTCTCCCCCCTCTGTGAGCCAGGCCCGCTCGGTGCTCCCCCTCCCTGGGGAAGCCAGTGATGGTGTGTTTGGCTGCACTTAGTTTGGCCGCTCGGTAGATCCTGTAGTACATGATTAGCATCACCGACATGGGGATGTAAAACGCCACAGCTGTAGAGTAGACTGTGTAGCCGAAGTCCTGACTGATGAGGCAAACTCTGCCATCGTTGACGTTCTGTGCCCAGCCAAACAAAGGGGGGAGGGTGATGGAGGCAGAGAGGAGCCACACTGAAAGGATCATCTTGGCCATACAGCAGCCGTTTTGGCGGACAGGATATGTCAGGGGTTTTGTGATGCCCAGATACCTGCAGAAAAAGTAGTATGTTTAAATAAAAAAGAAACAGAATTCAGTACACTAAATTCACCTTTAGGTTTGGTTTTTTTAATGCTCATCCCACCGTCAACAATGTGCCCTTAAGCATAAAGGCTAACCATAATCGGTATAAGCCACGCATGGACCCAGATGGAGGCTGGGACATTTTATGAATGATAAAACTGCAGGAAGCCGAGAGAAAAAGCACGGGATCTTTAACAGTAAAGGTTACAGTTAGACCATGGTGCACTGCTGTCATGATATTCATCTGCTCACTCAAACAACTTGCTAAAGAAAATCCCAGCAACAACCTGTACTAAGCACAAAGTGTTTAATGCAAAAAATACTGATGCTTCTGTTTTTTTAAGGAAAGATAAACACTTTAATTTTAAATAAACTGGAGTTGATGAACTGCTGGGAAACTGAAAGGCTCCTGTGTTGAATAAGTTGGTTTTAGGAGAGGAAAAAAGAAGGAATCTGCTCCCATTCCGACCCTTTTAATTTGAACTGGATGCTTGGTTACACAGGAATCTATTTGGCAGTGCACAAAAAGCTGATTGGATAGGTCACAGGTTGATTCATTGCAGTGAACACTTTGTCTCCCCGGCAAAACCTTGATCCCACCGTTCAGTGTCACAGACAAAACTGGTCGTCCCAACAGAGCTGCGGATTAAAGAAAAACACACTGACAAAGGAGGACTGTGGGCAGAACATATATATATATATATATATACAGTATATATGAAAACCCAGTTCCATTACTTTGATTACCAAAATCTTATGAGATACCTATCTTGTAATTGTGAGACACTATGTCAAATTAACACCCTTTCATGTATTAAAATGGTGAATGATGATCTCATAAATATGACATACTAAGCCATGGCTTCCAGACAATCATACAGTAAGGAGATTGTAATAATCTCAGATAATATTCCATATTTAGGAGATACTATCATAATTTAAATATATAATTTACTAATTATGAAATGTGTGGTAATTTAGATACATAATCTCATATAAATGAAAACCCAATCACATATTTACTTAGTCAAAAGAATTAGAGATAAGTATTATAAATAAGAGATATTAACTGATTTTTCAGGGGGTTCTTCAATTTTAAGTTGGCATCACAAATGTGTCCTATAGTATTTCTTAACTAACTTATGGTTTCAAGACTCATAATTAGGAGATACCAACTCTTAAGTTTTAATATGAGATACTAAGTCACAAGTTTGATATAACGTCTTTAAACTGAAATATGAAGTTTTAACTTTAGGATACTGCTTTACATAAGAAGTAAAATCCAAATTATGACTCACTAAGTTTTGATACTGTCTCATAATTAGGAAATCACAACTCTAAGGTATCATCTCTAAATTTGAAATACTAAGTTATATTTATGAAATTATATCTTACTTTGTATCTTCGCAGCCCATTAAGAAATGCCAACTAAGTCATCATTTTTGAAATACTGATGAGATTTTAAGTCATAATTGTAAGATCCTTGTTTATGACATAATATCAAAATTATGAGATGTCAGTTTTGAGATCTTGTTATCATGATTATGATTTAAGACTTTGTTCAGCAGAGTGGTGAAAACAAGTTTCCAAGAATGAGATTTATTATTATTGGGTTTTTTTTTTTCAATCTAAAAATTATCATTTGGCTTTAGAGATAAGAAATAATAAATATTCTTTATTTAAAAAAGACACATTTTACTTTGTTTAGGCGACACAAAAGTTTCTCTCACCTGTCAATGCTGATTACGCACAGAGTCATGATGGACGCGGTGCAGCACATCACATCCATGGCGATGAAAACGTTACAGAAAAACTGGCCGAATATCCACTGACCCCCGATCAGGTCCGTGATGCTCACGAACGGCATCACGGCCAGAGCCACGGACAGGTCCGCCATGGCCAGGGACACGATCAAGTAGTTGGAGGGCTGGCGCAGCTTCTTCACGAAACACACCGAAATGACCACCAGCAGGTTTCCGCAGATGGTGGACAGAGTGAGCATCGTGAGGACCCCGCCGATCAGGACCTTCTCCACGCGGCCGTAGCTCAGGATCTGCTCCCCGCACCGCGTCCCGTTCGTCTCCATGACCTGCGGCTGACTGGAGGCGGACGGAGACGTGGACGCTGCCGCCGCTGCTGCTGCTGCCTCTGCGGCGCTCTGCGCAAACTTCAGCAGCCGGGGCGCCAGAGCCTCAGAGATCATCATGCTGCTGGTGGACATCCCAGCATCTCCTGCGACTTTGTCCTCGACCGTTAAGGAAGACTTCATGCTGTCAGCACCCAAAGTTCCGTTATTCGCCCCGAGAACAACCATCCTGGCCCCGGTTGGTTCTTTTTATCCATGGAAGAGGAGACCCGTCCGGAGGGGACGTGGACGCGCACAGCTGTGCTGGCCACGGAGCAAAGATGGACTCATTCCTCTACATGTAGGACTGAACACAGCTCCACGCATCTTTTCTCCTCTGAAATCTGAAATCGCTCCGTTCAGAGAAGCGACCTGTCCTCGTCATTACGCACGTGGAGCGCCCCGGAGCATGTTCCCAGGACACCTGACCCATAAAACACGCTTCTGTTTTCCTGTGGTCCGCGCTACAGCTGGCACATGTCTGACCCGGTTCCGTTAGGGACCCGCAGGCAGACAGAAACTGAAAACCCGCCGTGCATGTTCCACAGAACCTGACATTAAAGTAGGCAGAGGTTTGTTTTATATCCTCACAGTCATTTCATATAAAACCCGCGTGTTCTGAGCTGTTTTTACTGATGTGGATAAAGAGAGCTCCTGAATGGCTGCGCGTAATTGCGCGGGGGCGCTCTGCTGATTATCTTTGTGTAATCATGTGTGTTTGGAATGTATTTAAACTGAAAAACATCCACTGCGCCCTTAGATGGAGCGTCTTTGTTGAGTTTCTTCTTTTAGTCAGATTTATCAAAATACATTTTTTTAATTTTATTATTTAAATTAAAAAATGTTTTAATAGAAAGAGTTCCTCACGCTTCAAATATGTCATTACCGTTCAGGTAAATCATGGAAAAAAAAGCGAAGTCAGCCTTCATTTAACTTCTGTGAACTTTATATGGCAGTAAGTGACTGAACTGAACATAAACGCTGTCATTCCTCATTAATCAGAGCCTATGAAAACTCCACGTGACTCTGATAGTTTGTAGCTTTAGGTTATACCGCCCCCAAGCGGATATAGGAGCAACTTCATGTACTAAGTTTTTTTTCTTCAACAAGAAATCTTGTTTATGTTTTGTATGTTGTGAATTTGCAACGAAATATTTGTGAAAATTTTTTAACAAACCTGTTTAAAAGCTGTGGTTGTCACTGGGATTTTCTAAGGCAGCATAAAAGATCTACTTGCTTAGCTTAGCTGCTTCATGCAAAAAACCCTACTTCTAATCCCTCAAAGGATATGTCAAAGTATTTTCCCATCTTAGAATTTCATTAAGAGGATTTAAGACGGAGCAAATCATTTTTGAATAAAAAAGTCTCTAAATTAAAGAACAAGATAGCAAAAGAAGAATTTTGCATATTTTGATATTCTGCCATTCTTCAAGGTTTTTGCAGTTTGATGAATAAAAACCAAACAGTCGTTTTAGTTAGAGGCAAAAGCTTTCTGTTTAGGAAGTTGATTTGAAGTAAATAGTGCATTTTATTATCAATTTTATTTATTTATTTTTGCATGTGTGTGGCTGTCTGTCTGTTAAAGTTGTAATAATTGGGTTTGGGTTGGGCAAAACTGAATCGTGTGCAATTAGTTGTCAGAAAAACTGTCAACAATTAATTATTTGCAACATTGCAATTATTCTAATTTGTGCCATGTTATGATGTACTGTGCAATTGTGTGTGAAACACTCTTACTATGAAATGTGCATGTGAGCCCATGATACACTGCATTACTAAAGATGTGCTGCCACTCAACATTGTGGAAAGGATGAGTTTCAATTCACAGCTTATGAATGTAACCTGTTAAAATGAAGAAGTTAGTTTGACTGATGATTTGGTATAAGTTTAGAACACAGGGTAACTGATTTAGAGTCAAAATTAAGCAAATGTGATTGTCATCTTTTAATCATAATCGGCTAAATGCCACAATTAATTGTGATTAATATTTAGGCAAATATTGCTCAACCCAAGTAGAACTGATTATCTTTTGGACTCAATCGGTTGCCACAGCCAACTGACGTTAAAGAAATACAGTATAAATGACTGTACATGAGTCAATTTTCCAAATATTGACCTAAAATATGGTGTAAAAAAGGCTGAGCTCAATCCTCAGCAAATGTTCAGAGCAATACCCAAATCAACTTTTATAGACAACCCAATTCAAGATGGCTGCCACAGCAAAATTACCTCAGAAAACACAAAAATGGTCATTACTGAGTTAATTTTACAGATGTTGGGTGCAAATTTGGTGTAGCTTAAACTGAGTGACATTCAGTTATGCAAAATTTTTGCTAAAAAAAAAACAATTAAGCCTTAACCGAAATGATAAAAATCTTTTGGAACCACATTAGAAAAATACTAAGCAATGCTATGAAATAAAAGAGATTTGGAAATCAATTGAAATTGAGCCAAACATAATAGAAGAGGCTTTTACAGTTTTTCTTGACTGTTTAGACACATTTTATAAAGGCATACACAATGGTTAATAACCCTCAATTCTACTGCAAAATGAAACTTTACATTCAAAACAGGGCGGCTGTGGCAGAGTGGTTAGGGGAGTCATCCTGGAACTGTAGGTCACCGTTTCGATCCCCCGTCCAGCTCTCACTTGTTGTGTCCTTGAGCAAGACACTTCACCCCACTGCCTCTGATGTGTGTCCCATCAGTGTATGAATGTGATTGGCATTGATTAGTCTCCATAGTTGACTGTATATGTTAGCTTTGTAGGAGATCTGGTAGATTGCTGTGTGAATGGATAAATGAGGACACAGATTGTAGTGTGAAGAGCTTTGAGTGTCCTGGATGGATAGAAAGATGCTATACAAGTAAAGTCCATTTACCATTTACAATGTAATTTCTTCTCATATTGACATTTTGCTTTCAGATGAAACTCAGACCACCATATGAACAGACATTTATAAGAACCAGTTGAAAAGATTAACTCAATGTAAAACACTGACCTTTTCTCCTTCTTCATGACTTTATAACCTGGTTTTGTTTAGTGTTACACTTACGTACTGCCAGTACATACATAAGTGTGTGGTAAAATATTTCTGAATATTGTTTTTTTTTACTCAGAACACACAAATATACAGTCACAAAAATATTTACTAAATTTCCCCCACAAAAACAATGTACATTGTACATCCTAACCAACAAAAAGTTGCAAATACAATAATGGTCTTCATACAAAACAACAGAAGAATTTACTGTATACACTTACAGTAAATAAGGACAGTTAACTTTAGAGTTTTGATTGGCAGTGCGTTCTTTGTGACAAGAGATTTTTTTTTCACAAGAAGTGTGCAAAAATGCAGAGAACTGTTTTGAAAAACATGTTTTAGAACTGAAATTTGTGTAAATTTAAGTGTAAAGCAGAAATTGTGTTTGTAGTTTAATAAAACTGGTTCAGGGGTATTAGTCTAGTGGGCGG